CTTCCTATCACAAGTACTCCTTTCCCAACAGGTACTACTGGAGTTACAAGTAGTACTACTGTTCCTGATACCACTACGCCTTTCCCCACAAGCACTACTGCTAGTGCTAGTACTCTTCTTATCACAGGCACTCCTTTCCCAACAAGTGCTACTGAAGTTACAAGTAGTGCTACTGTTCCTAGTACCACTACACCATCCCATATAAGTACCCCTACTGCTAGCACTAGTACTAACCTTCCTATCACAAGCACTCCTTTCCCAACAAGTGCTACTGAAGTTACAAGTAGTGCTACTGTTCCTAGTACCACTACACCATCCCATATAAGTACCCCTACTGCTAGCACTAGTACTACCCTTCCTATCACAAGCACTCCCTTCCCAGCAAGCACTATTGAAGTTACAACTAGTACTGCTGTTACTAATACTACTGTGCTTTCCCCTATAAGTACTGCTAGCACTAGTACTACTCTTCCTATCATAACCACTCCTTTCCCAACAAGTAATACTGATGCTAGCACCAATACTACTGTTCGAATTGCCGCTACTCTTTCTCCAACAAGCACTGATAGTACTAGCACCAATAATGCTGTTCCAATTACAACTACTCCTTCTACAAATAGTAGTACTGATAGTACTAGCAATAGTTTTCCTATTATGACTACTTTTTCTGTAAGTACTCATGCTATGAACACTACTGTTGCTATGGTAACCACTTCTATAAGTGCTGATGTTGTTAGCACTGGCAACCATACTCCTATTACCGGTTCTCCTTTCCCTACAATATCTGGTGGTAATAGTACTAGTAATACTATTCCTACAACGTCTACTCCTTCTACAGATATTTACACTACTAGCACGAATACCACAGCTGTCCCCATCACCAATACCGGAAATAGTACAGGGAATGCAGTAAATATTACCAATGCAGATAACTCTAGCACTCTTCCAGGTAACACCACACATGTTTCTATTCCAAATACCACAATAGCATTAGTTACTACTTTAATGACCTCTCTTCTAGACACAGCAACTCACTATCAGGTAACAACAAACTCTACAGTCAGTCATTTACCTCTTATTGCAACTAATGCTACCACCGATATTATAGATACTACCACATATGCTCTAAATACTACCATTCTTGAGAGAACAACAATGAATGCTTCTGCTACCATATCAACTTATATTGCAAATGTCAAAAATGCTACTCTAGTTCCATGATTACTACTCAAAGCAGGACAATTACTACAGACATCTCTTTAAAACAACTATTAAAGATATAAAAAAATCAATTAAAGATACATAATCTTAAGCTACATAAGTTTTCATAGATATTAACACTAGTTTATATAGATATGGCTACTCGAAACACTGTAGACATGGCAGGTATGTTTAAAGATGCATCCATGACTACTTTTATAAGTGTAATTAAAGAAGCTGTGGATACTTCTTCAGCATCCAGAATATATACTGCTATTTTAAAAATCATAACCCCTACAGCCCTATCGATTAAACTCTAGATATTTTACATATCCTTGCTAGAGACTTCACAGATGATTTTGGTATCTCAGATAATATATTAGGCTCTGTAAATACTATTGCTTTAGATGTAGTTATTGAAGTAACCTGACTTGTTCTTGGGTTACAGGACATGAAACCATAACTGAGAACACTGGTGCTATGTGGCACTCACATGGCCACTATAGCAACAGTTGTTAATATCATAGTAATTATTTAATTAGTAATGTTAACAATCATGCCTTATTTTCCTATGGACTTTTCCACATACCATGGCTACCAATATAGCAATTCACTATTACACATCCTGAAAGTATTATCACTTCTAAAGCAATCCTAGCTGTAACCATAGATACGGAAAGTGCTACCATTGTAGATCTTGTACATACTTGGACTCCAGGAACTAAAATCATTAAATTAAAGATATTAGATGTTACTTTTACTATCATAGGAAATAAAAATGTGATTATAGATGTTAAAAACATAACTTCCTAAACTTTGCAACCACTACTACTAATACTCTTACTGTAAATTTGATAAGTACTTTTATTTACAGACATTAAATGCACTTCCAGGAAATTACAGTTAATTTTACTTAGGAGATAATCTTAGGCCCTTGCTGTTACCCTGAATGACTGGATTCACTTACAAAGCTCCAACTCTTCTGTGGACCAGAAATCACCCAGATGGAGAGGAATATTTAAAGATATGGCTTAGGGGAGATAGTCTCTGCCCCAGGATCAGGGTTCTTGTTTACTTTTAAATGATTGTAATCTTGTTTACTTTTTCTCTTATCTACCAGCTTTTCCATTATTACTTCACTGTGAACTTCCCTTCTGTGTTAGGACTTTCAGCATGTTCTTGGTCTTTCATATCCAAATTTACTATTTATCCTTGGTCTGTTACTTTCTTAGATCAGCCAGACCCCATAAATAGACTCATGGTCATAATGAAATATAGCCACTTGAACGCTATTGAAGGCTTAATCCTAGGACAGTATTCTCAAAATGTAGTTTGGAGACCCATGGGAGGCCACAGAACTCTTTCTGGGGTTCACAAGGTCAAATCTGTTTTCATAATGCTATGCTTTTTTTTCCTTTTTTACTCTCGTTCTCTATTAGTAGACAGTGGCATTTTCCAGAGACAGTATGCTGTGTAGTGTCACAATAGATGAATATAGAAACAGATACAAGGATCGAGCTGTTTCTATTAAGATAGGCATTAAACAGATTTACAAAATATAAAATATCATTCTTTTCACTATTGTATGCTTTGAGAATACATTTGCTTTTTATAAAAATGTATTATTTATGTGAACATGCAGTTGATACGTTGTTATTTTTAATGAATAGAAAAAAATAAATATTTTACAAGGTATTTTACAAATGACTCAAGTTTAAGTTTGAAAGCACATATTAGCAGATATAAGCCACCTAAACAAAGCACAGGATCTTCACTAAATTTGAATGTGAAGGGCTTTTTAAAAAAATATTTTATTTATTTATTTGAGAGAGAGAGAGAGAGAGAGAAAACATGAACAGGGGAGGAAGGAAGAGTGGGAGAGGGACAAGCAGACTCCACACTGAGCACGGAGCCCAACTCATGGCTCGATCCCATGATGCTGAGATCATGACCTGAGCCGAAATCAAGAGCTGGAACACCCGACTGAGACCCCGAGGCACCCATGTAAAGAAAGTGTTTTTGAAACCACAAAGAGTTTGAGGATCACTTCCATAGTCAAATACATTATGAACTTTCCCAGCACTTGGGAACTCCAGCATCTGTGCCCTGTGGTTCTAACTACACACACCCTCTACTGTGAACACATCTGCACAGCCTTCTGACCTACCGCCACACCTGCACTATTGTGTGGCTGGCCCGACGGGGCTTCCACATGAGGGGCAAAGATTCTTTAGTTAGTGGCATTTTCCTTTTGGAATCTTCCCACAAACTGCACTCTTCTGAATAAAGTTGATAGACCTTATACCAGAGCATATATGCCTCTCAACTTGACCTTCCAACTCAAAACAAAACAAAGCTCATAATACCAAACTGTACCACTGGCCTTGGTTATAGACTCCCTCACTTGTGTCTTTACCGAGGGAGCTCCAGTGCCCTTCTCTTGTTGACACCACAAACCCTGATACGAGACAAAGTGTTCTGTGTCCTAAGGCACATGGTGTTCTCCTGCCAGCCCACTATACCAAGGCAGATTAGTTGGCCAAAGGCTTTGCTTAAAGCACTTGGGATTTGGAAAACTGAGGATGAATTTGTTCAAACAACCAGAGTTCTGTAGTTACTGAAATTCATTCCCTTTGTGTATATAAATCAACCATAATTGAAAATTTGGGATCTTAAAAAGGTAAGTACTCCTGGAAAAAAAAAAAAAAGAACAGCAACAACAACAACAAAAACCAACCAAACAAAACAGAAAAAAGGAAACCTGGACTTCAGATGTTTGAAGAAACTTGAGGTTTGAAACTTGAGAGTCTAGACACAAGAGATAGGATCCTGGACCATTTAGAAAACCTGGAAAGGGAAGAGGTAAAAGCAAATATCAGCTTGCTCCTTCTGAGCCTTGAGCTCTGTGCTTCTGTTAGACCCTGACACGGTTAATAGACTCCATTGGACCAGCTCTACAAATACCACCGGCTGTGAGGTTGGTACAGGGACTACGGCTTTAGGTGGACATGCCACCCCTTGCCTCAGCTTCTCATCTGTAAGAGGGAGTAAACATCAGAACTGCAGTGTACATGGAAATGCTTTTTCAGTCTGTAAAATGCTATACAAAATTTTATTATTTTTATTATTATTACATAATCCATTGAGTGTCCTTAATGTCTATTTAAACTTTTCCCTTCTTCTTCCCCTTGGATTTCCTGATAGCAGAGCAGTTTATCCTTAGAGCTGTTACTTTGTAATAAGGCTACCCTGTGTCTCTTTTTTCAAGTGTTTTCCAATGTTTCACTGCTAAGTTAAATAATGCCCATCTTTCCTCACTTTATAAAGTGAATGGATATAACTATCCCAATTTTAGGTTTAGGTTATTTTTCTATAATTTTTCTTAAGCTTTTTATACTTGCTGCTATTCATATGTTGCCTTCTAGAGAATAAAATGTATAAACAAAACACAGACAAGAAAAATTTTGAAGTAGCCAGTAGAGTTCAGTGGACAGTGTGTGTGGATTTGTGTGTGTGTCTGTGTGTGTTTTCATGCACATTGTTTTACATAGCGAACATCATATTTTCTGCCAGTAACATTTTCTTTGGTTTGTATAATGAAATTAAAGGTATAAGTGTTTCTTTATGTTCTTCAAAGAGCCCTGTTACTTGATGGTGGTTCACTGAATAGATGTGAGCACGATTGCTTAGCGAGGCCTTCGCCTATCTCCTGTTCTGGCAGTGAGATATTGAGTTGCACGACGCTTTCCCAAAAGTGACTTATGTTCAGTCTCTGCACTGAGAGGTGGACAGGATAATAGTTGTCCCTCAACCTATCTGCATGTGGTTATACTTCTGTTCACTTAGGTTTTGTCTAAATAGGATATAAATGTAAGGCTATTTGTTGAAATATAGTATACACACTTTATAATCACACCACAGTGAATGGGATGTGAGGTGAAATGGTGTTGGAACTGTACTGGAAGGAGCAAGAAGAAGTCTTCCATGTTGGAGGTGTTCTGAAGGCACCAGATGATGGAAAATCCTCAGAGAAGGTGATCTCAAACCAGGCAGAGGCTGATTCACTTGGGAATAAGATGTTGTTGTTGTTGTTTTTAATATTTTATTTATTGGAGAGAAAGCATGAGTGGGGGGCAGAGGGTGAGGGAGAGAGAGAGAAGCAGACTCCCTGCTGAGCAGGGAGCCCAACGTGGGGCTCGATCTCTGGACTCTAAGATCATGACCTTAGCCACAGGGAGACGTTTAACCAACTGAGCCATCCAAGTGCCCCTAGGCACAAGAAGTTTAGAGATGAAGGCGGAGCAAGATGGCGGAGGAGTAGGAGACCTAGATTTCGTCTGGTCTCAGGAATTCAGCTGAATAGGGATCAAAACATTCTGAACACCTACGAACTCAACAGGAGACCGAAGAAGAGAGTAGCAACAACTCTCTGAACAGAAAAGTGACCACTTTCTGGAAGGTAGGACGTGCGGAGAAGTGAATCCGAGGCGATATTCGGGAGGATAGACGGCGGGGGAGGGGCCTCCGCCGGCCGCTTCTGGCAAGTGCTAGAGCCGCGGAGCACAAAATCGGACCTTTTAGAAGTTGGCTCCGTGGAGGGACATCGCTGCAGTGGCTAAGCAGGGGGTGGAAT